TAGAACTGTCTGTTTATACCCCATTACCTCCTCCCTCCTCAGATTTTATGTTAGTTAGTAAGTGCCCCTTCCAGGAGGCTTCTGGATCACTCTGGTATATCTATTTATTTTTAAAAACATTTATATACTTTCTGATAAAACTAGTTTTTTGGGGGGGGGGCGGTTCTTTTTTAGACAGGGTTTCTGTGTAGCCCCACCTGACCTGGAACTCACTATGTAGACCAGGCTAGCCCTGATCTCAGGATCCACTGCCTCTGCCTCCCAAGTGCTAGGATCAAAGACATGTTGCCACTACACCCAGCACAGCTAGACATTTTAAACTCATTTATACTTTCATTGTCCCAGACCTCTAATCAGAATTTTCTAAGTTGATCTGAAATCTTTTAGGGAAAAAGTGTATTTAAAGACCAGATGTGACTACTCAGTGTGCTAACTGCTACTAATGTGTCATTGCTTTCAGGTTTGGAGAGGCATTTTGGACATTTCAATTTGTGAGTAAGCTAAGAGATCTTATTAAGCTTTGAACTAAAATTAAATAAGCTATAATGCCTTTCTAGGACAAAACTACAAACTGAAGAGAAACTATAAAACTGGGACAATAAAGTAAGTTATATGGTACATATTTCTTTTCTTTTCACTGTAACATTTTATTTCCTGTTTCTACTCTAAAGAATGTTTGTCTTAAAAACTGCTGGCTAGAAGGGTTTGCATTTTTGTTCCATTCATTTATTCACTTTCTTTTGTTTAAAAATATTTTATTAGCATTGCTTTCTTTAAGATGTAACATGATTCAATGAAAGACTGTATAGACTGGAGAATTTGGAAAGAGTGAATGGAAAATTCCAAACGATGACAAATTTCACATTCCTATTGAAGCCTGGTAGTACAGTTTTGTCAGTAAAAAACATTCAAAAATTACAGCAGACATATAGAATTTTTAACTTATAGTCTAAGTATTATTACACATTTTTAGTTTGGGATTATATCAATTTAGTTATTAAAGTACTTTCTATTTCTCTTGTTTTTTTTTTTAATTTCCTAGACTGATTTTTTTTTTTTTTCCTCTAGAAATTCAATTAGGGAATAGGTGAAGGCATACTGGGGCTGTAGAAGATTAAGAGAAAAATAATGGAAAACTTCTTAGTGCCTAGTAATGGGAGAGGTCCAACATCAAGGCCTGGATACCCAGAACTGCATGTGGAATAAGAACCACACCTGGGCACATATTTCTGCTAACACATTTTAACAAGGGAAGAATTCTAGAGCTACATAAATTAAAAATGTTATCCTGGGACATTCTACACAGACAAAACACCAAGTTAATTAAGAGGGAATGAAAAAACAGATTGCTATCAAACTTTTTAAGGTAAGGTTTTATGCCAGGAAACAATTAGATAACTCTTTACTATAGTTACCATAATCAAGAAAGAGCTTAAAATTTAATATCTATCCAAATGAACATCAACGTATAAATGCACAAACCTCTAAGGACTTGGGAAATCTATCAGAGAACAAGCTTTGGACAACCATAATTATTTAAAAAACAATATGAGGATTAGCGGTGAGGTTAAATATGTATTTACTCACAGAATATGAATAAATTATGATTAAATAGGAGAATATAATACGGAAGAGCTGTCTGCTTTGAAAATACTAAGAACTCAAATATCAAAAAACAGAGTAAATATAACTCAGTTGGGTAGAGTGCCTGCATAGCATTGCCAAAGCTCTGAATATAATTCCCAGCACCAGTGTGGGAGACAGGCTTGAGCCTAGGGTGAAAGTCTTACTGACAGCCATACAGCAGGCCCAACAAAACGGCCCGACCGCTGGAGCCACAAGAAACGCCTTCTGACATGTGCTCCCATTGGCAGATCATGAGACTCATGCCTAGAGCTGCCACTCCCTAATCACCACCCTTGGAAATCCAAATTGCAACATTTAGATATTGCAACAGTCAGGGTCATGTGGTTTCCAGGAATCCAGGCTCTGTAATCTGAAACCCAGTATGCTAATGAGGCATCCTACCTGCTATTCTGTGATAGGACATTAAGACTGTTATGCTAATAGGATGCTAAGTCTGTTATGCTAATAAAGTATCCTACTTGCTGTACTGTGATAGGACGCTAAACCAGTATTGCTAATGAGGTATCCTACTTGCTGTGCTGTGATTGGACCACTACCCCTATATAAGCTTGTGCCTTCCTCTTCCTGCAATAAACCAGACCTGTGTCACTGAACCTGGTCTCCTGTGTCTGAATGTGGCTCCAATGACACAGTCTCCTCACCAGCCCTGGGGCTCCGCTGACAGAGTCTCCTCACCAGCCCTGGGGTCCGGGACCGGGCAGAAGTGGCAATGACAGGAGGCAGCACAGGGCAAGCAGAAGAGCTGCCTCAGCACCAGGCGAGTAGAAGAGCAGCCTCAGGCCAGGGAAGGCAGAAAAGCAGCCTCAGCCCAGGGCGGGCGGAGGAGCAGCCTCGACGCCTGTGAGAACGAAGGAGCAGCACCCACGAGAATGGAGGAGCAGCGGTGACCACACACCAGGGCTGGAGAGATAGCTCTGGGGTTAAGAACACTGGTTGTTCTTGCAGAAGACCCGGGTTCAAATCCCAGCACCCACATGGCAGCTAACAACTGTCCATAACTCCAGTCCCAGGGGATCTGACAGCCTCTTCTGACCTCCGTGGGCAGTGCACAACCTGGGTGCACTTACCTACATGCAGGCAGGCAATACACGAATGTACATAAAATTAAAAAATTAAATTAGAAAAAAAATTCCCAGCACCACATAAAAAAACAGGTGTAGTGGTACACACCTGTAATCCCAGTACTAAGAAGATGGAGGCAGGAAGGATAAGTTCAAGGTCATCCATGTCAAGGTAGCCAGCTTGATCCTAGCCTAGGCTACATGATACTTTGTCTTTAAAACAAAACAAACAAACAAATTAGGATAAGAATGAAGAAAGCATGTCCAGACTGGAACAGACCTTTTGAGTTACTGATAATTTGTTGAGAGTAAACAGATGCTCCTACTAACAATAGGGACAAAAACAAAATAAAGGAAGGAAGGAGAGCAAGAGTATTATGTAAAGTATAAATAACCATAAGGATAAAGACATAAAACTTTCTAAACAAAGAGATGAAATAAAATAGATGATAAAGTAAAAGTCTTTAATATGTAAGACATGACAAAAAAAGTACAACAGAAATAAGGCTAAAGATAATGGTTATATCAGTAAATCTAAAGAAAGCTTCACATTGGTGACTGAGCAAATTCAGAACTATTTGTAAAACTAAGAAATTCAGAAATTTCAAGATCAGAAAGACTGACAATGGCACATCATGTAAACACAACTTTAAAAGGTAGAGTGATAATTCTGAAATCTGGCAAGAAGATTTATAGAAGGAAATCATGGATTAAGGAGTTCCTTAAAAACAAAATATTTTGTGTCAGGTTAAAGAGTCTGAACTTTGCCCTACAGTCAGTGGAAATCTTAGACAAGCTTAAGAGTCAAGAATTATATATGCACTTTAAAGATAGACTTAACAACAGAAGAAGGGTGGATGACAAGATAAAAGAGGCTAAATCTTAGAATTTTAGAATGGGGGACAGGGACAACTACTGCCCAAGTGCCTACTCTAGTCAAATGGCTTACACACATGTTTTTATTGCAATTCTAATAGCAACTATATAAGATGACTTGTGTTGTGCTCTGTTTATATATGGAGACTCTGAGGCTCAGGAACATTAGTTAAGAAACCAAGAACTCCAGAACCATCAAGAAAGCTAGTATCCACAAGCATATTGAAAAGGAAAACAAAGGATGTCCTCACATGCCTTTTATTGTTTACTATGTTTTCTTCTTCCACAGACCCATCCTAACTAAAGACAAAACTTAGCATATATGTCTCGTTTTGTTTTTTTTTTTTTTTTAAAGCACCAGTACAGTAACTAGATGCTCAGAAAAATATTAAGACTGACAGCTAGGTAAAAATTAAAAACAGGTTAGACAAAGAAGGCAATATGTGCTTCACTCCCACACTGAAGCAGGAGATTTTATAGCTAGAAATGTTTTAATAAAACACTTATTCTCAGTGTACAAGGCAATGGGAGCTAAAAAGTCTGCATGGGCTTAAGAAATTTATTTGTAAGAATAAAACCTAACTAAAAACAGATCAGTGTGTGGGTTTTGTTATTGTTATTGTTTTGACAGGGTTTCCCTAGTCCCAGCCCACCTGGAAGTCACTATGTGGATGAGGTTGAGCTCTGATCTCAGAGAGATCCGCCTGCCTCTGCCTCCTGAGGGCTGGGATTAAAGACATGCACCACCATGCCTGGCATGTGGTTTGGGGTTTTTTGTTTTTCAATTTTTATTTACCTGTATGAGTGTTTTGCCCATATGTGTGTACAAATCAATGGCCAAGAGGGCACTGAATCCCCTGGAGCTGAAGTTATGGATGGTTGTTAGTTGCCATGTGGATGCTGGAAACCAAATCAGGATTCTCTGTAAGAGCAGCCAGTGCTCTTAACCACTAAGCCATCTCCCCAACCCTGTAAGTATGTATTTTTAAACTATAGTCATCACTTTGTTAAAAGTCACAATATGGAATCTTCAAGTTTTTCTATTGCAGTCTTCAGGAAAATTTTCTCCCTATTCAATTTTTGTATTACTCTTATTTCCAACTTAGCCTTTACAAATTCATATGAACTATTTCTTGTTCTTTTTTACACTTATTTATTGTGTGTATATATGTATGCCTGTATATATGTATCTTTTTGTGTAGGTACACATAGGTATTGCACCTTTGAAGGTCAGAAGACAATTTTCAAGAGTCTCCAGTTCTCTCCTTTCACCATGTGGAATTCAGGGATCAAACTCAGGTCCTCAGGCTTGGAAGCAAGTGCTTTTACCTGCTGCCGAAATACTGAACTATTTTTAGATGTTTAATTAAATAAGGATATTTCTGTTTCATTTCTTTTATTCCACCACATACTTACATGGAATGGTTCTCAAGTAGAGATTATCTCTGATCACTTGCTGCAGTTTGTGGTCAATTGATCCTTTCTGAAACTGAAGACTCAGGTAGTGTCGCAAATCTTTATTAATTACTTTGCCTACAAAAAACCCCACAGAAAATAAAACATAACTGTTAGATGTTTATTCAAATACAGACACAAGTGATCAAATATACAAACGATTTAACTATTAACAAGAAAAGGAAATCAGCGTATTTGATTAGCCAGCAGAAGTAATACCAAATTATTACAGGTTGATTAAATTATAATAGGTAACTAAAATAACTACCTACAACGCAATATGGGTATAATTTTAGGTGATTGCACTATAGTGCAGAGAATATAATGAGCATTCCAATATCCATCCATATACTAAGAGCTCCCAATTCAGATCTTAGGTTCATCTCTAACTTATCTCTACTAAGCTCCTTCATTCATATACATTACAGATGGTATATCTGGAAATGTCAAAACTGAACTCTTTCATCATCTCACCCAGTTTTCTCTGTCTTAGAAAATAACGGTACCACCAGCTGGGAGAATAATTCCCAGAAGTCATCCTTGTTTCTCCTTTTTCACTTCTACCTTCTAGATATAATTCAATAGCAATTTCTGTTGGCTGTCCTTTCAAAATCATATTCCATTGGCCTCTACTTCTATTGATACTATCCTAGTTAATCTATGCTACCACCATCATTTCCCATCTGGAATTCTACGAACAGCCTTCTAATCAGCCTCTTCCCATTCACTTTGGTCCTTCCTCCCCATCCCTCACAGAGAAGCATGTAAAACAGATCAGAACAGTGTTACTATGCTTGAGCTGCCTCCATCACCCTCATGACTTTTTGTTGTACTTGGAATAAAATCCAAACTACTGCTCAGGACACATTAAGCCTCACGTATTCCATCTCTGGCTATGACCTAAGTGATTCATACTTCCTCCTTTCCAACTATGCCAGAGAGGCTATCTAGCTCTTGAAGACCACAACTGGGCTCCAGCCCAAGGCCTTCAGCCTGTTACTAGACTGAAAAATTCATTTATTGACTACTATATACAATGTGAATGAATAAGACAGTTAAACATTTTCTATTATTTGCAGGGAAAATGGGAAACAAAGGAATAGTAAACAGATTGCAGAAATCTCATAGCAATGGATCAGTAATAAGAACTGAACTTAAAATGAAAAAGCAGTGCAAACATTGTTCATTAGATAAGACTGAAGATAATTAGAAAAGATCTACGTTGAGAAAAAATAGATTATGTCACAGAGTAAGAAATGACTAGTTGACTGCACTGTGTTTTATTTGGAACAATGTACTCACATCAAGGTTTCATAAAACAAAAGGTTACTACAGACCACCTCACTCTTATCTACTGTGCCATAACACTGTATTTCTAATCTTCTCTTTTGTTCTTTTCTACTACATATGAACACATATAGCTGATGGTAATATAAGCAGGAAATCAGTGTTTCTAAAGTTCAAAGATAAAATTCAGACCCTATTAACGAACATAAACCAAGGAACTCCCTTATTTACCCTGCTGGAAATAGACTCTGAGAAAGGGGGGTTTGATTAAAGCAAATAAACCCAGCTGGGCATGGTGGCGCACACATTTAGGAGGCAGAGGTAGGTGGATCTCTGCGAGTTCAAGGCCAGCCTGGTCTACACTGCAAGTTCCAGCCAGGGCTATACAGTGAGACTGTCTCAAAAAGCCCAAACAAACAAACAAACAAACAAACAAAACAATCCCTAAAAATATGTATTTATAGGGATGAACATAGAGCAATCCCCAATTTCACATGATGTTTCTTTCAGCCATTTAGGGTCCCTCTAACCCAAGCTAATTCAGATAGAAACATATTGTCCTATTTTTAAATTTCTATTACAGTACATGTTCAGAGGGTAGAAGAAAAAAACCTAACTTGTAATCAATACTACATAATATTAACTGAACAAATATTGACTCAATAATGAGCTCATTAATTACTTTTAAAATTTTAGTAGCTAAAAAATTAAAAAAATAACATAAGATTAACTTTTTGGTTGCCAGGTTAGGTAAAAGTCACTTATCCACAGGATGTCCACTTTTGTAAACATTATTCCCACAACCTCTCCCTTCCACGGTGAACTTGAGGAGTGGGGGGCGGATCAAAGCCAGTTCATCAGGTTTGTATACCAAGTACTTTTTCCTGCTAAGTCATATTGCTGGCTCTGAACCCAAATTTTTTAAACTCAATCTCAACTACAAACCAATAAACTCTTTTTCAGAAAAGCAAAAAAAAAAAAAAAAGAAGAAGAAGAAAGGAAGGAAGGAAGGAAGGAAGGAAGAAAAGAAAGAAAGAAAAAGAGAAATTCAGTAACACAGCTGGGCATGGTAGCACCTGCCTTGATCCCAGCTCTCAGAAAGCAGAAACAGGAGAATCCCTGTGAGACCAATGCTAGCCTGGTCTACATACACAGTTCCAGGCCAGTTGGGGTTATAGGAAAACCCTGTCTCAAAAAAACAAAACAAAACAAAACAAAAAATTCAGTAACAGATATCTGAAGCCCTTTGTAAATATAAGACAAAAGCTTCTGTAGATTGTTACTACATGCTTTCTGTTTGTAATATTTGGACGCATCTGAATGAACAGAGAAGGTGTCTTTTTTTTTCCCTTTCACTTAAAACAGTAACATAGGCTCCAATATCCAAAGCTTGATTATCTAACAACATATTTTCATGAAAAGGTTTACTTTGGATAAGGGTAATACATGCATGGAGCTGGAGACATGGCTCAGTGGTTAAGAACACCAGCTGTTCTTGCAGGAGACCCAGGTTCGAATCCCAGCACCCACATGGCAGTTAACAACTGTTCATAACTCCAGTTCCAGGGGATCCATCACCACCTTCTGACCTCCACTGGCACTGTATAACACAGGTACGCTTACAGTCATACAGGCAATATATACATACACATAAAACAAAAATAATAAATAAAATTTTGGGGAGGGGGTCTTTTTTGAGTCTCCCTATAGCCCCAGCTGTCCTGGAACTCACTATGTAGACCAGGCTGGCCTTGAACTCAAAGAGATACGCCTGCCTCTGCCTCCCAAGTGCTGAGATTAAAGGTGTGTGCCACCACGCCTGGCATAAATAAAATATTTTTTAAAAGGGTACTACATGTATAATTAAAGAAGATGATCCGAACCAACACTTCAACTTATAATTTCTTTTGTTCAACTCAAAACTTTTTAAGATACAGCATAACTGTAAAATGCTAAAAAAACACAGATTGGATTTTAAGTCATAAAAATAATGGCTATTAGCTTAGAGATCATTAAAAGATAGTCACAATAAGGTCCTAAATCACAAATTATCTAGCGTGATGAATTTATTAAGGGGAAAGGGAGCCAACCCAACTCTTAAGGGCTTTTGAGATTTCAAAACCAGCTAAAGCAGAAAAGGCTAAATTTAAAAACACCTATAATTATCAGAACTAGAATTGTACTGTTTTTAGCCTTAACTTCTATTGGGATTATGGATGCAACACTGAGATGGGCAGTTACAAAGAAATGGATGAGAAACAATTGTATAAAAATGTGGCATTTGATTTAATATGTGCAACTAGAGGCTGAAGGTAGTGTTCTTGCTTAGTATTACAAAAATTAAAAGTAAAATCTGCAACTATTTTTTAAATACACTGTTTTTTGAAATTGAAGACAAAATATTATAAGCATCATCAAATTATACATAATGAAAATTTAATAAAATTATGAATGACATTCTTTATGATTAATAACTAATAATAAAACTCCTCAGGTGTAGCATTCATCATTGATTTTCTTGTCTCGAGAAACTAAAGGAAACTTTAAGGGTGTAGCATATAATGGGTCTCTCTTTTATATGATATCAGGGAATTTTTTTAAAGCCTAAATAGGTAGCAACTATGTGATTCCCAAAACAGAAATATTAATTTTAATATTTTGTTTATTATTTTATGTGTATGAGTGTATTGCCTGCATGTATGTAACTATACCCATGTCGTGCAATGCCTCCAGAGGTCAGAAGAGTGTGTCAGATTCCCATGAACCTGGAGTTACTGATGGTTGTCAGTCACCATGTGGGTGCTGGGAATTGAACCCAGGTCCTCTGCAAGAGCAGCCAGTGCTCTTAACCACTGAGTCACTTCTCCAGCCCCCAGAAATATTAATTTTAAAAGACCCTGCAGAGCCGGGCGTGGTGGCGCACACCTTTAATCCCAGCACTCAGGAGGCAGAGGTAGGCGGATTTCTGTGAGTTATTTTGATATATCACAGTGAAAGATTTATCGTCCTCTTTTTTTTTTTTTTTTTTTTTTAAAAAAAAAAAAAAAAAAAAAAAAAAAAAAAAGACCCCTGCAGAGCACATCTATATAATGAAAGTCTCTCCCTTTTTTAAGGTTAGTTCACAGAGTCTTGATATTTCAAGAGCATGGAAAATAGCTATTTGAGGTGAATGTAGCTGTTATTAAACAACAAAAAAAAATCTTCATAGTGTGAGCATTCTTACATTCTTAAGAAGCCAGGCCTTGCTTCAAGAATTCTTAAAAAGCAGGCCTTGCTTCAAGAATTGCTATCCCTTGACTTCTATTCTTCGACTTGATTAAGTCAAGGTGGTTTACGATATATAAAAATAGATTTATACATCTGAAAAATATAGCTTAGTTAGATGAACATCTACAATTGAAATTTTAAGCATATTAAAAAATCCAGGCACTCAATTTCAAGATACAAATCCTTAATCAAAAATTTATAACTACAAATCCATAGTTTCTGAATATATGCAAATTTATATTCACCACCAATTCTACAGAGAAATCAGTGTAAAAAGCATTACTACTGCTTACTATTTGGATAAACCCTGCTGGCATAGGTGTGGCATGCAAACAGTTATAAATCAATCTACCCAAACATCTTTTTTACAAGGACCTTTATCAACCACTTGCTAAAGCAAGATACAACATGTCTTAACTATTTTTTAATATAGTAGCAATTATAAAACTGGAAAAAATGAGATCAGTTTGGCATGTCTGGTTTCTTGTAAATTCATGTTGATTCATGGTGATCATGCCATTCTC